AATGAAAACGAGCATCGTTAATACTCAGCATAATTTTGCGGTACCGTACAGAACTGGGTCTCGAATTAACGTGACAGTTACAGCTTCTTTTAGAAAAAAACTAATTATTAAACTTATGGAAAAAGTATAATGTTTTTAAGATTTTGAGAATGCTTAGATTAAATGACCTGTAAGCTAACGCGTGTTTTGGGAAGCTCTCAAGTCGGTCACATTTTCGATTCTTTGGAAGTGCGGGTTTGTATACCCTTTTCCCCTTTAGTCCCTTTTATGTGCGAGACCCGTTTGCCTAGAGGCCTGTTTGTTTGACACCAAAGTGCGTATTGTTATTTTGTGAGGAAGGAAAATCCTTCAGCGAAGTTGAGAAATAAAGCGAACAGTACGTAGTCCGCTACTGTAATTTACTTGAGTGCATAAACGTTATATGCTCACGTCTCAACCTACAGGCTTAGCCTAATATTTTAAGATAAACACTAAATTATTATGTGTATTAAAAATTAATGAGACATATCATGTGCGTATTTATTTAAGTAACTTTCGGCGTTGATTACTGTTAATTAACTCTGAGGAACTGGGAAAATTTTCTAGATACAGGTTCGTTAATTATGCTATCATTTGGTGGCTTCATCAACTATAAGGAAGTTTCTTAGATTTGGTAAACGTAGGCAATTTTATGTAACAAAAAAGTAAGTACAACATTTTAAGGTTATATGTAAATTTATACTCCAATGCCAAAAGCTATTCTTATACATTACATTCGTAAAAACCTTAAGAGTACCGAAGATAACTAACGAAGATGTATTTCATCAATAAAGTGTAGTGTTACATTTCGTAATGAAACAAAGGAAATTTCTATAAACAGATGAGCGAGGGGGAGCCTTCCTGTCACGCACTTGCGATCTCATGACCATCGCATTCAATTTATGGATGTTTTATCTCCTCCCTGGAAATGTTGAGAATAGGGCTTTTGTGGGTATAATTCCATTATGATTTACTTTTATTGCTAGTGTTAAATTAACGACACACCCGTTGCTTTTAGTGACCCACTTACTGGTCTGTTTATTGTTTTGAACGTAAATACGAGCACCTCACACCATAATCAAAGATAACATACAATAAATGTAGGCATATCTCGTTCACTAATTATTAAGTTGCGACATCTCGCTGTAAACTACAGATTTAAACTTAAAAATATTAAATGATAATGAGATATTATAAGACCTCTTTATTTTTGCATTTTGTTGTATATTATATTGTTATATTCTATTTTGTTAAGTACTAATGAATAATATTTTAATATTAGCTTCAATGTCTACAGGACAGCTAACTTTCTTAGGGTTTTCCTAAGTTTTTGTTTGATGATTTTTTTGATTTTGGTTATAACCTTTATGAGAAATGATTTTATGGGCAGGTTCCATTTTAAAGGTAGCCAATTTAATAAGCAAGTACAAGCTAATGAATACTAGTAATGAATGTAAACTGAGGTGCGGTATAAATTTAATCCATCCACGAGAATTTGTGTTGATGAAACAGTTAGTAATTTGCCGAAACAATGAATGTCGAATTTTGTTACTAGCGGATACGGAATTCATGAAAGTGTAGCTACTGCGAATAAATCCCCGTAGGTAAAGATGAATGTTAATAGAAAAAGTGCGTAGTGTTTTTATCTCCAGACTAATGTCAGGCTTGTTTATTATTGAATTGGAACTTTGCAGATTTACTTGTTAAAATTTTATCTCGAACTTTATGGTGAAAGTACAAAGTAAAAACAGATAAACTAAGAACAAGGAAAGAAAGATACAACGTACTTTTGTGGTATTGGTTTCTGGCGCTTGAGATTTTGTTCTTCGAACCCAAACTTTGACTTCTGATGTGTATTATAATAATTTTTTCAATCTTACATTGACTGACGCACGAAATATTATGGAGTGACGTTTTAAAGTTACGAAATAATCAATGTTTTTCTCAACAATGTCCAAAAATCCAGAGACATAGAAGCTACATGTTAAGACGATCTAAAGTAATCCATATTGGAGCCGGCCCCCTGTAGGTTCTACGCTGTAGCCGATCAGTTACTATGTAGTTTTATTAACCGTCACCTGTCGCGTGTCATGAAACTTTTATTACATTTTCTTTATAGTCGACTCTTAAAGTACTGTGAAAAAGAGAAGGGAAATAAATATATTGTGCAGTTTTCATTAATAAGAAAATATTGTAAGTATATAAAACGTAAAATGTAGAGATCTAATCAGTGGATTGATCATTTTTCTGATTCTTTGAATTGTGGTCGATATTATATCCGTTAACTTGATTTCATATAGTGGAATATACATATACATACGTGATTTCATATAAAATGAAATCACGTAAATATATGAAATCAACCAAGGCTTATGCTTATTTTCTCTTTCTTTTAGCGATGGACATAACACGATTAATATTAAAATATTTCATTAGTTTTGTTATTTGATTCAGAGTTCAAATTATCAAACAAAGATTATGTATTGAGTTCCGTAATAATTTCTTATATAAATTAAATGTCGTAAAGAAAATTATTTCATTACAAATAATTGTGGGCTGCTAGCAATAGCTTTTTTGTACCGTCGTTGGTAAGGAATTAGTTACTTTGTTTGTGATATTTATTATTGTAATGGGTTGTTGGCATGTTTTAGAGTTTCATGGTGATGTTTTCTAACTATTGTTATTTATTCTTATTAGTATTTTTTACTTTGTTTATTGTAAATCGTGTTCTTTTAGTTAAAGTCAGGCTGGGTTAGAATATCAGCATAGTGAACGATGTGTGTAACAAAGCTGAACCCATACCGTTTTGTCTAAAATTTGATCAAAATATTGGTATTATAGTATAGTTATAAATATTCAACTGTAATTGTTAATGAAATAGTTAATGCTTAGTAGAACTACGTCCATGCAGCTATACATGATAAGAAAATCTCAAATTCTATTGTAATCATTTAAATAAAAAGCGTTTAAGACGCCTTTTATAGGCAAAAGGAAGCCATTTCATTATTATAAAAGCTTCTCCAATAAACGTCATTTCATTTTCCTTGTTTATAATATTGCTTATTTACTGCTATTGCCGAATTAAAAAGGTTCTTCCTAAGGTGTTAAAGTAATTGTAAACGCCTTTAGCGTATTTGTAGCTTACCGAGTGCCCATAAAGATTAATAAAGGGTTAGTGTACATCAAATACGGATTACGTTTTATATCGTTAATTAATAGTTTCTATCGTGATAAAATTGATCTAGTTACTAGCCTAGGCACCCTCAAGCCTGGCCACCTCAAGCCCGGTGGATCTGTGAAGGTCTCATCAAGGCCAACAGTAGAAGATCCAGGCAAAAAAATCAATCAAAACTTCTCTTTGTTTCAAATAAATCATTCAAATAAATAAAATATTTAGTAAATTTAATCGATATATGTATAAAAATTACGAAATAGTTTTTTTATAGTGCCGTGCAAAATCAATAATTCTCCTTTACATTTCATCATATTCCCGTGGAATTCCCGTTTTTACATAATAATAGATGCCAAACATCCTAATTGTTCCATTAATATGTTACATACAGATGTATATAGACAAGTAATGAATATTGAATATTCGGCCGCGCTCTGATATCGCTGAAGCTCCGAAATCTCGGTAAAAGCATTAGAAGTAAGTACATGCCGCTAAAATTTAGCTATCATCCCTAATAATTTCTTGAAACTCTGTGACATCTCTTGTATTTTCGTCTCTGCTCGTACTTAAATTATTTTATTAAATAGTGCACAAGTTACAACAGTATTCCCAATCCAAAATATGCAAATTTACTAACGATTTTAATCTCGACCTCTGAACACATACAAATCTACGGCTTCTTTATGTTAAAATTGTCAATTTGATTTAGACACAAGTGTTATAAATTTCTCCAAACACAAAGCATTTGATTTTGTTGGTTGAGCTTTTACGGTACTCACACTCAACTTATAAGTTTAACGAAATTCGATAACCTTGATGTATATACTTGTTGTTTAGTATGTTTATGTAGGCGGCGGAATACAATAATTATTATTATTTGTGTATCCCGTCTCTTGCCAAAAAGCCCTGATTCTTGCTGCTTCTTAGCTTTTTGTTATTTTATGTATTATATGATATAAAGATTTAGTATCGCTTGGCAATGATTATCCATTTCCATAGCTTATCTATACTTATGCTCGTTAAATTTATCTACATATTTTCATCTCAACATATATAGTATTAATTATTAATTAATATACATAAAAGCTTTGTCCCTCTAGTTCGAATTCCATTTTATCTGTTTGTATCTGATTGAAAAAAATTGAGTGATATTACTATATGTTTTATTTTTTATGTTTCTATAAACTATATAATCTATTATAAATTATATAACATCATAAATTAATAATATGATGAATTGAGTGAGATAAAAAAAACTAATTTATGAACAGTTTCCAATTCCATTCCCAACCATTCACAATCTTTCATAATAAAACTTAAAAACATTTTTTTTTAATTTTTTTCGTAATAATCAAGGATTTTCAGATACGAACATAAAAATTCCATAAAAATGTTACGAGTTTAATGATTTTTTTATTATTTAAATTCGAATTTATTGAAATCTTTGTGTAACGTTTGACGAAACCTCTGATTTAATTTACGATTATAATTATATAATAATATTCATACGACCTATAATTCAATGTTAATAATTTATTTGAATGTAGGCATAGTATTATAATAGAATTTTGCGTAACCACTACAAAGCTCGTTTATAATTATATTATTCAACTTAGATACTCACAGTGTTGCTAGGAGGGGCGGTAATTTAAATCCGAAACAAAAGCAGTACCATTTTAAGAGACTTATCGGCCTTAATTCAACAAAACCACACTCGATCGAATGTTAGCGATTATATTTCATTTCTATTTCACATAGATGCCGGTAGCTGTACGGCTATTTGCTAAACAAACACGAAATTAAAGTTTCATCCCGGAGCCGGGCGTGCTGGGAGACGGAGGGGCGAATCGCGCAGGCGGGCGGCCGCGCCACCTGTCGCTGAGGGGGGCGCGTTCGGCGGCACGTCTGTCTGCGGCGCGGGCTTACTTGCGACTGCGGGCGCCGAGGCTGAGCCGGCCCGGGCACGTGGGTCGCTGGGCGCCGGCCGCCGCCCAGGTGCACCTGCACCCCCGCGTGCCCCTCGTCGCCCCCGCGGGCCCCTCGAACGCTCCAAGTTCGCCCCTTGCCCTTCCCCCGCGCCCTTTGCCTCTCTCGCAATCGCCACCCGCGCATCAGCCCGTCGCGCGCTCCATTCCAGCCAGCGCTCGTTGTCGGGGCCGCCGTCTACGCACACTTCCCACTTCTTGCACACTTTCGCGCATCGTCTGCAAAACCACTTCTATTATGCAATGTAATTGAAAACGGAGTCTTTAGAAATGTAAATACATCAAATCTTTTTTCGTCTCTCTTACGGATAAATGGAGTCCTGTATAGAAATTCGCTGAAACATTAATACTGAGCGGTAGCTCTCTGGAAATGGAAATTTCGAAATTTCGAAATGGCATTCAATAATTTAAACATATGCAAGTAATGAGCGTGCAGCGCAGGCGGGCTTTGTGGGCGGTGTTTACCATATGTATGTCGCGCATAATCGTAAAAGCCGAGTAACTGCTACAACAACTTGAAACGTGTTTGTGCTACGAGAGCTACGAAATTTTGCTACGACGATAATTTTTCTATTTCGATACGTGTAAAGCGTACTATTGAATGTAGATACTTAATAATGATTACGTTCTTCATGTTTGCATTTTCTAACACACTGACGTTTTTTAAAAAGCTGATATTATGATGCGAGAATTTTCGATTAAAAATTAGGGTGCTTTTTCGATATTGAGTCAAAATAAGGTGTAAAAATTTAAAATCAAAGCAGTGTATTTGGGGCATAAAAAGGAAAGTTTTCACAAAATTTCGTGAAAAATAAAATATATTTGTAAAAGATACCAAAGAGATTTGTAAGAGACCAAAAACTTGGTTATTTGAATACTTCACATACATTTTGAGGTTATGTGAAAAAGTGTAAATACAAAAGCTGTAGATCTTTTTATTACCTACAACATTGCAATTTCACTTTTTCCATCGGCTTTGTAGTTTTGCTGGAAATCAAGGTAAATCGCATTTACCCTTAAAAACTCGCCCCAAGGTTATTTATTCCTTTCCTTTTTATCATATTACGCTCCTTTTCCAATGAGTTTTATCGTACTTTTATTATTTTTTTCACTTTTTAATATTTTTAAGGCTTCAGCCCTGGTCTATGAGTATTTCATACCCAAATATCACTTAGTCAATAATTTGACATATATGATGAAACATAAAACAAAGGGTTCGTACTTTATAATGCGGATAATGTCTACAACATAAGGGTCGGAACTCGTTAAGCTAATCTGTCGTAAAATTTGGGTAAAAATGCGAATCTCTAAATGTTATGCACATATGCTATCCAAAATATATGCATGAATATTTTTGATTTTGAAAATTATTATGAACTTTTAGGTAATGAGGCAACACAAAATATTATGCTTCTATTTTAAATAATTTTAGGGGCCGAGATGGCATCCAATTTTTTACCTTACGCACTTACGTAATTTACTCATCTCAATCTCCCCCGACTTTCGTATTACAAAAGCTTCAATGTAACGATAGCTCTGTCAAACAATGAATTGAATGTAGCTATATTATTCATTTGGCAATAGATACTTCATAAAATATTTAATGCTCAAGCTAGTACGGCGTATGAAGACGCGTTGTGAATAAAAATTACTAAGGCGCTTAACAAACCGTGGAGACGCGTCGAAAGCGTCCCACGCCCCCAGTTATCGTTGTCAAAAATACGCCCAAGAAAATATTAGCAAAAGCCCGAGGCTCTACGGAAGTAGCTGCATAATGGTGAAAATATCCCATCGCCGTGGCTAGTTCCTGGTCTATACGAGAAAGACGTACCTATGTCATGAAAAAATCTATAGGTGTTTTAGTTGAACATAGAAAGAGGAATTCGGTTGTGTATCGTGCTTTTATTGTTTAAATATAGCTGTATGGGAGTTTGACTGCAGTTACAACTAAACATATATAAATCATTCTGAACGGTTTGAAACTGATGTGATTAATCGGTCAATGTAATAACTGTCTATATATTTGTTTTCTCTACAATTTTACTAATTTTAACATTTTAGCGAACAGTTAAAGTAACGAAAGTAAGATAAAATGAACAATCATATCGATTGAAGCAAACTTATTCAATTTTTAAAAGAAATAGAATCCTTTGAAGTTTCAATAGTTTCCCTATTCCTAAAGGAAAAGATGAAACAGTGTGACTTATGACTAAGATATTGATCCAATAAATCTTGGCCTTAGCTTAAAGCTAGAGAAATTATTATTTTAAAGAGCATTTTATAATTTCTAACGTTCAAATTAATCACTTTTTTAATTAATTCGACATATATTCGAATCACAGTGAATAAAAATTTTATAATTAAAATAAACGCGAAGATATTATCAAATTAAATATATTCATATCTGTTTTTCGTTGACCTGCTTTAATCATTAATTAAACACGTGAAGCGCGCACGAGGATTGATGGAGAGTCGAATTAAAATCATAACAAGCAATTAAAAAAGACGAAGTATAGATAAGCTGTTCATTCGCTTAGTGAGTTTGATTTATTTTTCATATTCTACGTATTTTTTTTTCAGACGGGGAAACGTTTTCAGTAAATTTTCAGTAAATTTATTCTCAATCACATTTTTCAAGTTTAAACTTTTACCTCATCAGCTTTTATTTTACGGCTCTGATTAAGTTATAATACTTTATTGTAATTTTGGGTCTGGAGGCAAATACAGTTATAACTAATTGGTAGTTAGCCAAATCGTTCAACTTTTCAACATATAAGCATTGTGAACCAATTGTATCACGAGTTGGGCACGCTTTAAATATTTTGTAGCACCTTTAAATTCCTTCGATCAAGGATAAGATAAGGTATTTCTCTTGTACTTAATATAAACGGTTATAGCATAAACGGTTATAGCGTATACGGTTAAAGCATAATATTAAAATAAATGTGACAAGTAATAATTTTTACTATCAAAAAACAAAACTGACGTCATATATATACATCATATACATTTCTCTCACTATACATTTTTTTTTATTGGAGTTCCCAGATGTGCCTCCAGAGTTCAATGTCCGATACCAATGAAATATGATGCACCATATGGGGGCTAAACCTGAACCCGAAATATAAAAAATAATTTTAATATCGGTTCGTAAATGACGGAGTTCATCATCATTCAAGAAAAAAAACATAATCGAATTGAGAATTCCCTCCTTTTTTGAAGTCGGTTGAAAAATGACATATTTCAGTATGCAGTGGCCAGTGTCAGTATGCAGTGGCCAGTGTCAGTATGCAGTGGGGTATTTATTATTTATATATCACTACCATATAAAAGTTTTTATTCTGTCATAATAAATTAGCCAGCGCAATCAACAGTAAAAGAACAGTCTTCATAAAAATTATTTGCAAAAGACGAAGTTGATACATTTCATAAAGACTCCCAGAAGCGACATCACTCCACCAGAGGATGTATATGAATGAAAAATGAAACACAAAACAAACATTTTTTTTCGACTGAAAATTTTTAGTGAAACCTTTGACTTTGTCATACTGTCGTCTAAAGCTCGGTTCGGTCTTCTTTTTGTTCTTATCTCCAAGCTTACAACCCGACGTAACCCTATTCAAATGTAGTAGGTTCTTAAACATATCACTTCTAACAGTTTGTAATAGTAAACCGAGAGACTAGCGTTCGCGTTACTCTAATTATGTTAATAAGCTATTCGCCCACATAAATGGTTTTGGGAATGTTTTTCTATTTTCAAAATCTTTACCGATATTTAACATAATTGCTCCTTGTAGATGAAATATTTGTATTAATTTCTTCTATTTATTGTAAAGTAAAACAACAGCCTATTCATGTTCCACTACTGGACAAAGGCCTCCTCTATACAGAGGGTATGAAGGCATAGTCACCATGCGGCCCCTGCGGATTGGCGGTCTTCACATATCGAATACAGAGGAAACCTGCATATTTCGAAAATATGCAGGTTTCCTTACGATGTTTTCCTTTACCACGGAGCACGTGATTAGTCAGCACTAAAGTTAAAAACTTCATTGGTGCCGGCACCGGGGATCGAACTCATGTTGCTCAAGTATATTGAATTAAAGGCGAGCGCCCGGACACTGAGCTATTACGGCTCCTAATTTATTACCGAATAACAAATTGTTATTCTATGTACATATATTGAAATTTGTAGACTACTTTCAATATGTTTTTCTTAGAGTACCAGCGCTGAGAACATGACTGTAAGATTAGGTCACCTAATCTGTTAAGTTGAAAAAATATTCAGCCCATTATGTAGAATTTATAGTATGGTCAGCAGGGAAGCATATATTAGTTAATAAGTTTAGGGTCATGAAGTACTGGAATGTAAAGTGGAGGATTTATAGATTTTAAATTCTCCCACTCACATTTTACTAATGTAACAAGCAAGAACATTAAAAATCGGATGGAAATAATATTCTGGTATGTGTTCACTTTTTATAGATTTTGTAAGTTTCCATTCGAAGAATATAAATAACAGATTCATTAAGATTCTTCGGTATTATACTAAAAAGTAAAGTGAAATCAGAAATGTCTGACGCGGCAACGAGCTTTGCTCTTCTATTTACGAGTATAATTGTTTCCTTTTTTTAAATGGTCGTTTTAATTTATTTCCATCGTATACTTTTCAGGATAGTCAGGGATTTTAATTTAACAGTTGCAAATGACACAATTTTAATTTAAAGTAAAATTTAAAAAAGAATTGGATCTAGTTCGATGAAATGATTAATATGAGAGTATAATAATTCATGGGGAACCATAGAAAATTTTCATCTAAATTCTATTTAATCCAAATTATTGTATGGCAAATTTTATACAGTTGACGCAGACAATTGACAGCTTGCGCGAATCGGTTAAGGTAAACATTGACTCGTGCTCATGCTCTAGCATCGTCGTATATCGACGGGGTTTATCGTTCAAGTACAGATACGGAAAACTGTAAACTCTGGTAGTTAATTTTTATTTTCGGTATTATTTATTAAGCCATGTATTCGTAGTATGATAAGGTAATAAAAATGGTGACCATGAATATTAATATAATGATAATGATGAAATATAATGATGAATATAATAATAATCATGAATATTATTTACCTATTGTGATTATACCGAGCCTTAAAATATTGGACAATACTTGATGCTTAGAAACAACATGAACTATAGGAGAGTGTGTTCCTAAATATTTGTGTGTGTAACTAACATAAACTTGATAAGACAATATCGAATATTTACGGTTAACGCATACTAAAATAACTAAAGGGACGAGGTGTACTATAATGTTGCAGAATTTACATCTTACTGCATGCGTATTAAAGTAACTTTTTATTTACCAGACATACAGCTCACCTTTTTAGGCCGACCTTTGCAACTTTATTAAATTCACTGATGATTTACGAAGTAATAAAAAATATAAAGAATATAAATTTACAATTTGTTATATAAATCTGGAGATAGTAATCCTACTAGGTTTAACCTAGAAGCGTATTTAATTTTAACTGACCTATTGATAGGGCATTTATTTTTATAAACAACCTGGGTGACTGTTCGTCGATAATGTAGTAGGCTAGCCAACCCTTTGTAGCGAAGGTGTTCGTGTAATCGAAACGTGATTCGTGAACGTTTCCCGGTGCAATCTAAATAAGTTCTCATATGAAATTCTGCTCTTTAGGGTTTCTTACCCAAAGGGTAAAACAGGACCATAGTACTAAGACTTCGGTATCTGTCTGTCTGTCCTTTTGTCACCAGGCTGTATCGCATGAACCGTGATAGTTAGACAGTTGAAAATTTTAGAGACGATGTATTTCTGTTGCCGCTATAACAACAAATATTAAAAAACAGAATAAAAAATATTTATAATATAATAAATAAATCGTGCTCGAGTCCGACCCACACATGGCCGGTTTTTTATGTCAAAAGATAGCAAGCGAGTTGACGATTCACCTGATAATAAGTGATAACGGCCGCCCATAGATATTTGCAACACCAGTAGGGTTGCAGATGCGTTGCAATCTTTTAATAAAGAGAACCCCGGCTAACTCCAAGGCTAAACCAGACGAAACGCACAAGTATGACACTTCCATTTCATGTCGATCTTCTGTGAGGTCGTTGTACCCAGACGCACCTGTCAATCCGGGCAATAGCCGAAGCTGTTGTGTGGTTGAATAAATGCTTTATATAACATAGTTATTTGACCATTCCAAAATTGGAATTCTTGATTTCAAAGAAAGATTTCAAAGGGAAAGATAGAGGGTAAAAGACCTGGAGGCCGTACTCCTAAACGGTGGGCGAATCTTCAAAACACCTGGAAATCCCCATAAGCGCCGCGCTCCACCAGGCGACGAAACCGATGGAGACAGCTCGTTGACCAATTAAATAAGAGTCACGATCCTCAGCAGTGAGGGAACCACTAAGAAGAAGAAGACGAAGATTTCAAAAACTGCCTT